ATTAGTCTATATAGTCAATTTTTGCCAATAGAAAATAATCTTGGGAGCACTCGCCTGTTCTTGCATGAAACTTTTAAGACAAATAGGCTCAGTTTCAGCATTCCTGTGGTAGCAGAACAGTATCTTCTAAAAAAATTCATATTTTGGGACCTGCTTACAAAAGAAGCAGTTTTTATTCCTGCAAAATTTAACAATGAGGAGTGTCCTTATCATTACATTTAATGATGCAGCCCTACCAAATATATTCTGTATTTACCTCAGGCTGGAATATTTGCTGCAAAACTCTTTGTTCATGTTTTTGTATAGAAGTTGGCATATGTTAACTTCATATGGAAAGCATTATTAAAGATAAAAATGATCAGCCATGTAAATCAGTAAATCTTTCTGAAAAAGAATCTGTACGGTGCTTTAGCACTTAGATGGGAATAGCTCTAATGGACAGTGTTTACTTGGACTTCAAAAGATTTTTTGTTGTTGATAGTGAGGAAGGGGACATGATAAGTTTAGTTTCAGATATGCATACCATGGAGAATGTAGGCAGTGTTTGCCCAGATATGCATGGTCTGGAGAATATGGGTGGGGAGAAGTTCTTGTGAAATTAGAAGTCAGTCTCAACTATAAATGGGTAACAGATAAAAACATGTTTATACAGTAAATAGACACAGCATTCTTCAAAATTCAGTGAAAACCACTAATCTAAATTTGAATAGCCTTAGAGGCAATTCAGATAAACTTGTTTTGTGTGTGTGTGTGTGTATGAATGTGTATATTACAGTATGTGTATAATGTATGCAGATGTATGTATGTACAGTATATCTGTATATATAAATCTATATCTTCTGAACCAACAGATCTCCTCAGTATTTATATATTTATACTTTAAGATTCAAATCAAATGTTTATTATGGTCAAAGACCAGCATAGTACTTTGAAGTTACCCTTATACTGTTGTATAAGGATGTAAATGTTCTATCTCAGGGCATGTAACTTGATTGGAAGATCAATTGGAATCCCGTCCAGTTGTATAACTTATTATAGATGCATGTTCCTGTAGGCAGATAGTTTAAAAGTGGATATCAATGGACACAATAACATATAATGAAGAGCCTAAAGCAAATGTTCTGCATTCATAGTTTGTTTTAGGATCCAAAATTTGTATAACTGTAAAATATCCCTTATATCAAATTTGAATCTTGGTGACTACATGAATGGATGCATGTTTGTTATTTCCTTGTCAGCAATATGGAAGTAATTTGCTATTGCCTTCCCTCATGTTCCCCTCTCAATTCTATGATTTCTTACTGTTTTCTCATCCAGGTAGTAACTTGTATTTGACCCTGCTTAACTTTTTCAAAATCAGCAACATGCTGTCATTTGCTCTTATATAAGATTTGATTATATTTTGGGTGAACTACTGAGATCTGACCATAGCATCTGTGATGAGAAATCAAATATGCTACTTCACATCAGAGGTTGATCATGCATTGAGTGTGGAATTACTTCTCTCTGCTCCAGATGTATATCTGTTTCTCTACTTTCATACTGAAAAGTGTTGGAAACTTCGAACTTGTAATATAATGTGCTGTTCCTTCTGCTGTCTTTCATTTAAAACTCTGTTTTATTTTTCTTTACAAATTCAGTGTATATCTTGCCTTTATTATTTTTACAAATATCTCAAGGTGGCAAACATATCCAACACATTTTCTTCTTCCTATAAATTGGTATAGAATTGATACCTAGGTATTTTAAATATACAGCAGAATAAAACTAATGTCTAGATCTTTTGTTGGACCATTTTCCATTTGAGAACATTAAGTACAGTATTTCAACACAAATTCTTCAAAGCCTTTTTAAGTAGTTTGATTTATATCGAGTTCTTTTTTCTTTCAGTAGCAGAATGAGTGTCACAAAAAAGGTGTCTCAGAGTTACATGTAACAAATGCTGAGGTATTTGTCTTGAAATTTCTTGACTGGTTTCACTGTTCACTTTGGCTATTAGGAATTAAGGCCAAATTGTGACCACATAGTCAATTTTTATTACTTAAATCAGAATCGGAAACATGCTGGTGGAAATTGGATCAGAACTGTTCAGTGTAATGTTTCCAGCCTTCTGATGATCAAGTTCCAAGAAAAGATCATTCAGGTTTCATAAACTCAGACCAGCTGCTTTTCTTTAAAATAGCATAATATTTTCTTCATAAATGGGGCAGCCATGGTACATAGTGATGAATAAGTCCTTGCATATATTTTTTTCTGAACAGCTGTTCTTTATCTTCACACTTCTTTGTTTGAGAAATCGTTACAATAAAGTTTTTGATTGATTGATATACCACTATAAATGTTCTATATGTTTAATCATGTGAAATACACAGTTGAAGGCTTATGAGATACAATTAAGGATGGGAGAGAGGAAATTGCAAAACAAAATTCTTCTTCTCTCTGTGTTTCTACAATAAAAGTATGTTCCTCCATGTAAGTTCTACTTGGAACAGTTTCCAAGGACACCTGCACAATTCACAGGTTTAAATCAAAGTTGAAACTGAAAGCTTTCCCGAATTAGACATTCACCAAATAGCAGAATCAGAAGAGCAGAACCTCTGTGAAAATACTATTTGGATTCCTTCTTACGCTAACATACATTAATCACAAATTAATATAAATGAATTGGGCTGTAGAAGTTCGGGTCAAGGCCTGTCAGTTCCTAGATAGGTTTGAATTTGTTTTTCTTATATTAGAATATTTTCTTCTTCAAAATATTCTGTCTTGAATTGCCAACATTGCTTACTTGGCCTAAGTGTCTCTTCAAAATTTGCCTTTCATAAAGTCATTCATTGATTGGTTTCAGCAATTAAAGCAAACATATTGATTAATGCAGAACTGAATAGTGAACTGAATAATAGCATAGAACTGAAATGCTACTACAAGTAGTCCTTGACATGATCACAACTGAGCCCAAAATTTCTGTTGTTAACTGAGACATTTGTTAAGTGAATTTTGCCCCATTTTATGACCTTTCTTGACTCATTTGTTAAGTGAATCACTGCAATTGGTCAGTTAGTAACCCGGTTGTTAAGTGAATTGACATTGACTTTGCTTGTCAGAAGGTCACAAAAGGGGGTTGTGTGACCTTGGGACACAGCAACAGTCATAAATATGAACCAGTTGCCAAGCAGCTGAATTTTGAGTACGTGACCATGGGAATGCTGGAAAGGTCATAACTGTGAAAAGCAGTCATAAGTCAGTTTTTTCAGTGCCATTGTAAATTTGGACAGTCACTAAACAAATTGTTTAGTGGATCATGCAAGTAATCGAGGATAACTTGCATGAGTGTGCAGAGTTCATTACAGAAGGTAGTCTATCCATATATTGTAATTGATTAATAAAGTATCAGTAACAAATAGGAAAAAAAACACACAGATTCTCGTGTTGACCTATTCACAGATTCATATATCACCCAATTCCAGGCTATTGTAGTGGCTTAGCTCTTTGAGATTGATGCAATAGGTTGATTTCTGCCCATAGACCAATTAGGAAAAAAGTTTTTCAGTTAAAAAAAAAGTACCTGATAGGTAAGTCCATCCCTTGTGTCTCTATTAATTCCAGGAGCATAGTGTCTTCAACAAGATATTGCTTTTGTAGCAAATTCAAGCAGTAGTTTTGCCACTTCTTTTCCAGCTTACCAGCCTAGAAGCACAGAGAAGAGGACCTATAGTGTTGCTTGTTGTTGGAGTGGTGTGCCTACAGCTGTGGATTTTATTTTACTATATTTGCAGGGTTGGGGTTGGTAGATTGAAGAAAAATGCTGCTGCTGCTTAACCCTCAGGTGAAACTCTTACTGGTAGGATAATCAAAATCTTTATTCCTGTTTAGGAATTTCAAGTAATATCTGCTTTTCAGTGGTGAAAGAATAAAGTCATGCAGACGCCTTGTAGATTGTGATCTAAATCTTAACTTTCATACCTCAAACTGGTTAGAGTTTATATTCATGGGAAAGAGCTTTTCCACATATCCTCTCTGCAACTCTGGGCCTCTTCAAATTGCTCTTTCTGGAAAGGACATGACCTCATTACTTTTATAACCTTTACAGACAGCTGTGAATGCATATTGGAAGCCCTAATAACATCCTGTGCACAATAGCCAACTCTAAGCATTTGCCTATATCTGTTCTCTTACTATGGAAATAGTAAATGGAGTTTGGATTTCATTGAGCCAAATGTTTCCATAGGCAAATCTTAACAATTGCACTATGTAACAGAGACATCTATATTGTGTTTGTTTGTGTGTGTGTGTTTGTGTGTGTGCCTTTCAAGGTGATATATATGATGAAAGCAAGTATTGTGCTTTCATCCCAGAGGCTCTTACCCAGGGGTGGGATTCTACCAGTTCTGATGAGTTCTATAGAACCGGTTGTTATGATTCTGTGCAGTTCAGAGAACCGGCAAATCATGCCCTTGCTGGCCCTGCCCATCCCTGCCTGCCCCTCCCCTCCCTGCCCAGTCAGTCCTTATCACACATGCACGACATCGCTGACTGCGTTCTCCCTCGCCCAGTCACTCTTTAAGGTATTTTTTCCCCTCCCAATGATCAGCTGTTCTGATGATCAGCTGTGCTGGGATCCCCCTTGCTGTCTTACTGCTTCAGGCTTCCCTGAGGCCCAGGAGGCAAAAAGGGGTAGGGGGTGGTGTGGGGGGAGCTGGGGACCCACCTGCTCCATTGTTTTGCCTTCCTGAGCCCCAGGGAAGCTTTCTAGGAGCAAAAGCGCCCCCTCAGAAGGCTTCCAAGAGGCCCAGAAGGCCCCAAAATGGAGCGGGGGGGGCTGTGCACACACACCCAGCTCCATTTTTGCCTTCTTGGGCCCCAAGGAAGATTCCTGGGAGCTAAAATGCCCCCCAGGAGGCTTCCCTGAGGCCCAGAAGGCCCCAAAACGGAGTGTGGGGGTACTGCAAAAAATAAGAGGCCACACCCACGCAGTCACATGGCCACGCCCACCTAGCCATGACCACAGAACCAGTTGTTAAAAAATTTGAATCCCACCCCTGTTCTTACTCTTTTGATAGGAGCATCAAAAGTGCAGGGTACAGTTTAAATTAAAACAGCACAATGCGATTTGGAATATCATCCCTTCAGAAATTAGACTGGCCTCCAGTTTGACAATCTTTCATAAAGCCATAAAGACTTGGTTTTACCAGCTGATCTGGGGAACCCAGACTGTGATGGAGCCCATCAAATGGCTTATTTGACTGTATGTTGTTGCTGGGGGGGGGGGGGGGTTATTATTATTATTTATTTTCCATAACTGTTTTTTTATTGCTTGTAAGCTGCCTAGGAGTGTGAGTTTAATGTGAGTTTCAGAACTTGCACACACCTTTTTGTTATACTAAGTGTTTCTCACATTTATGAAGTTCAGTGCTTCATTTCTAAAACATGAGCTTTAACTTGAAGTTTCCCTAAGAAAGTTAGGGAAATGAACTAGAATTTCTAAAATTTAATTCCAGAATATAGGTTATGATTGCTTTTACATTTATATAGTTAAGAACAGTCGAAAGAATCTTTAATTTATATGTAGTGACATATAGCAGGCTGATACCATACTCCATTCCTGATATATGATGAATAGTTATTTTCAAAATCTCATTTGGAAAGCTTTAAATAGCATTTGAAACTCATCAATCATAACAAAAGATTATTCAAGAAGCATTTGTGTATATATATCTAAAAATAAGTCATTTGAGCTCAGGAAATGTAGCTGCTCAGTGTTGTCTTGTACCATGAGATGAGCAGCATATAAAGGAATAAAAGTGGTTTTCTAAAAAGAAATTGAGACTGACTGAACAGATGATAGATCTTGTTAAATCGTTTGAATAAAATGTTTTTCAAAAAATACTACACTTTGCTTAGCTTCACATTTTGGTAATATCTTACCAATGGAAGGTTCCTCAGTTGATTGGAGAAAAAAATGTTGGTCTCATTGAAAGAAACTTACTTGGAAGATCTGGTTTTTTTCCCCCCAGACAACAAAAGCAGTGTTAAAAAATTGATAGCTAAGTAATGTGCCACATATGGATCTAAATTCAGTAGTTGCTTGATGAATTAAGAATATATTTTAAAAACAAAATGGACAGGAAAGCTAACAAATAAGAATATGGGTTTTGGAAACAGAGTTCTGGGCCAGATTTAAGTCAAGAAAAAGTGGGATCATAAGGAACAATACTAATATGTGTAGGCCTGAATTCACCTCATGAAAGTTTTTGGCAGACACTTGATAAGATAAGCAAAAAAAAATTCACAATATCTTAAGGCATATTATTATCAGTTTATTCTGTGAAAGAATGTGTAGGCTTCACCTTAGTTCAGTTATCCCCAAAGAGATACAGAAAATACTAATCAATCAATATTCCTGGTAATTCTTCTAACTTCTTATAGTTCAGCCTCTTTAACCAAAACAAGAAGAAAAATGAACCAGTTTTCCATCAAGGTTTTTATGACAGTGAATCAGTGATAATGTGCCAAAATACATATGAGCAGAGAGCTAGCCCATCTGCGGTCCTCTGAAACATTGCCCAATAATTTAGAAAATATACTTTGCACATTGCCTCTTCATTGTTATTTCATATAGTTCTAAAATTCAAAATCACCCAGCTGGGTGGATGCTTGAATATGACTGCAATGAATATTAAGGAGGGAGGAGGAACATCAAACAAAAAGACCATGTTAAAATTACACATCCAAAACAGAAAGGAAAAATGCCTGCCTATGATTCTTTAACTCTAACCTGACAGTCATAAATTAGAAATGCAGTTGATTGACAGAATGTTATTGAGGCTTCCAATTGTTGATTTTTCTATTATTGGTTGTACTACTTTAGTATTATGGTTTTTACTGCTTAGCTGTCTGTGTGTCTCTCTGTGTGTGTACCTATGTGTGGTTTTAACTTCATTTATTACTATTTTGTTGAACATATATTGGCTGCAAAGGGTGTTGTGTTACTGCTTGTTATGCTATAGGAGAGGCCTTTTGAGTTGAAAGCAGCTTATAAATATTAATATCATGCAACACATCTGGAGACTGCAGCTGACTGAAAATATAATAAATATGTATATTGAACATCTGACTTGGCCTAATCACAGCAACCCTAAGTTAGACAATTCTTCAAGGCCTCAGCAGAAGACTTTTCATTGAGGTTCCATAATTGAAGATGGCATCGATTGATCAGGATGCCATATGCCTGCAAACCATCTGGTATATACATGATCCAAGCATGAAATCCAAGTAAAATTGCTTGAAATTCAGTTGTTGTTGTTGTTTAACCACCAACTGCAAGGAGGATATCTCATAATTTTTTTCCCTTTGGTTAATATAACTCTATGTATCTCTGGCCTAAGTCCAAAAAGCAACCTCTTTCATCACACTGAAATATAAAACCTCCCATTTGAGTTCATGTCAGTTACTGGTCCTCCCCTAATGAGCAGTTTCACAAGGCCACAAGTAACTTTTGGGCACAGTGCCATGGTACACAAAGATAGTCAGCAAAATAAAGAACACTTGACCTGCTACAATTAAAAGATGACTTTGATGGGAAAAGTAAAAACATGAGGCAGAAGTAACGTAAATCTTGTACTTAAGAACACTATTCCAATACATGTTAGAGAGAGCAGCTGTGATGGCCAGCATTTTCTTTATATTATAAGGACAATATTTGATACTTCTGTTGGCCTAAATTAACAATGTTGTTTCTACCTTTTGTTTGTTGCTGCACTATTTAGGGCATGTTAAATTTTTCAAATTTCAATTTCCAATCATAGGAATACTCAAAAGGTGTGACATGCCTTGGGGATTGTAAAGATATTTTGGTTACTTTAATATAATTTAGATGTGCTTGATAATTAGCTACATAAATATTGTAACTTTTTAACATTTTGTTTGTTTCCATATTAACATCTAAACACTGGTGAGAATCAAACACCATAGAAATGCTAGTAATACGTAAATAGCTGTTTATTTTGCATTGAGGATTTTTTTTTATTTCAGCATTGTTGACATTTTAAAACGTTATTTGTGACTTCTGTTTTACATGTGTCATTTAAATATTCTAATTTTTAGCATAATTTTAAATCCTTACAAGTAAGTGATGCATGAACACAAGAAGAACAAGGAAAAATCTTTGTAAAATAAACACACAAACAACTTTTTCAGAATGAAGAGTTTAAACAGCTCATACATAGAGCTCAACAATAATATTTCTGCCGTGTCCAGGTTCTTCATATCCCTTGGTGTTGCTCCTGTACTCATATTTGTCACAGTTGGTGACAGAGTGTCACGTAGCACAAACAAGTTTGAACCTTGTTTTCTGCATTACATCCCATTTGGCCTTTAGTTGTCCAAAGTGCCTGGTAATCATGAAACCCTTATGCTGGCTGACCATTAACATGAGAATGTTTGTACAAAGTTTTGTCTTATCTCTTATAGTTCTCCCACTTGAAAGATATTACAAAAGCTGTTACCACTAATAAGCGGCTTTATTCTGAAAAAAATATTCTGTCAATCTCCCAAACATTGGGAATGGAAGGAGAAGTCTTATCACTGTGGCATTGATTTACAGAATAACAGAACAGAAAGCAGAGTTGGAAGGAATCTTGGAGGTCTTCTAGTCCAACCCCAGGAAATCTTATACCATTTCAGACAAATGGTTGTCCAATCTCATCTTAAAAACTTCCATTGCTGGAGCATTCACAACTCCTGGAGGCAAGTTGTTCCACTGATTAATTGTTCTGTCAGGAAATTTCGTCTTAGCTTCTCTTCTTGATTAGTTTCCGTTTCTGGGTTTTCAATAATTCTAATAACACAAATGGCTTTATCCCACAAAAATCAATTCCCAAAATAGTTTAAGCCTATCTGCTATTCACTGTTATTGCAGGAAAGATCAGTGGAGCAATTCAAAACAGACTCCCCACAGTATATTTGTGGCTCAGTTTATGAGCAGGTGATAGTCGAGAACTTAGTAGATGGGTATTGCATTTCCTCATTATCTTCCTCCTCCAATGATAGTCTTTCTGAGAGTAGAACCTAGTGCATAAATATATAGTATGTATCATCCTTACTTATGTTAATGCTCTTCTTCTACCTATTTCCATATTTATGTATTTCTGAATGCTGCTCTGGGGGGTGTCATAGAACTTATCCTGAACACATGCTATCTCACTTCATGTTTTTCCCCCCCAGTTCTTCTGTGTAGATTGCACCAGCAGCTTCAGCTTTGTTTTTGTCTTAATTGCAAATGAGAAGTCTTGGGAGACAAATGTAGAGAACCCCAATTAATAACAGTGGGAATAAAAGGTCTACAGCTGGCCAGATACAGAAGTGTGCCAGAATCATGCTGTTACCTTTGGCGGCTGATACATAGCTCTTTCAAGGTACAGCTCAGGCACAAAGCCATCTATGACAAAATCCCACATTTGTCTACAGGGAGTATATTTATATTGCCATGCATGGACAATGAAAACTGCAATGTTTGCTAAACTCGTAGACAAGGCATTGAAGAGCACCACCACATGGGTTCTGGCTTATATAGCTGCTGGATAATTGACTCTGTAGCTTAAAATATAAGATTATCTATTTTGGAAAATGTCTACTCTGCTGCAGAAAAAAAAAGTTTCACACCATTTCCATGCCCTAGGCTTAGTTGCAACCTAATCACAACCACTCAGTGATAAGCCATTCCTATCCTGGCATTGCAGGTAATTTTTTCCCTCCTCAGGAAATGGAAACAAAAGTTATCACACCAATGGTTAGAGCTATATATGTGTACGTGGCTTAATTTATCCTAATGTTTCTTGCGTTCCGGGGACAGACTGCAGCTGTTCTTGTGATGTGGAATTTGACAGCACAAACTAAACCACAGCGAGCCAAGGAGACACTACATCAATAATGCTCTCTAGATTTCCAGCTCTTTAGAAAACTTCCTTTTCTTCTGGAGCAATCAACCATGTTAGCACTGTTGCTGATAAAGCCTCTTTCAGAGGGGGAAATCTTTTTTTTTTTTAAATATAACTTTCCTCCTGCCCTTGCTGTTGCTGCTGTCTTCTTTGAAGACCTGGCCACATTTCTCCAATGAATCTTCAGCATTTTGAACTGGAAAGGAGAAGATTCCATGCTTGGGATAATATTTTTTCCCACCAGTTTTCTTAAGAGCAAAAAGCTTGTTCCTTGTTTTGGTGGTCGTTAAAAAAAAAAAAAAAATCCATGTGAGACTGAAACAGTGTTGTAGTACACAGCAAAGCTGTAACTCTACTCTACTGTTTCTCCTTCCCCTCCTCCCTCTTCCACAGCCAGCAATATTTCTGCTTATGCTCAGCTGCTGTAATAAGATCTCTTTGCTGCTTGCTGCTCTGGAGCTTGTTTGTCTTGGCACTCTGCTTACAGAGGCACTTTAAAACAGAGGGTCAGTCAGAGATGCTTGGGGTTATTTCTTCTCCTTTTCCTGCTTTCTTGAAATAGTTTTGCAAGTAGAAGAATGATGTTCTCTTTGACGTTCTTCCAGTGACCCACCGAGGGAGCACCTTTTCAGTAGGGCAGAAGGAAAGTCTGCTACAATATGGAACACAAAAGGTCCAACGGGCAATTACAGATGGTCCTCATCTTACAGAAGTTTATTTAGTGATCGTTCAAAGTTACAACGGCACTTAACAGACCTTTTTCATAGTTATGATGGTCGCAGCGTCCCCGTGGTCACGAGATCAAAATTCAGATGCTTTGCAACTGACTCATATTCATGAAACTTGCTGTATCCCAGGGCCATGTAATCATCTTTTGTGAGCCTCTGCCAAGCAAAGTCAGTAGGAAAGCCAGATTCACTTAATAACAATGTCACTAACTTAAAGTGATTCATTTAACAATGGTTGCAAGAAAGGTGGTAAAATGGGGCAAAATTCACTTAACAAATGTCTCATTTGGCAACTTAATTTTGGGCTCAAGACAGGAACTACTTGTATTGGAAGCTCCAATTGGCTGTCTTACATATTAAGGAAGATAATGTTGGCATTATCTATAGTTGATGCAAAACATAATGGTTCACTTGCTGATGGTTACAAGAATCACACCTACAGTGCAGGGACTCCACCTGCTTTTAATTAAATATATTATTATATATAGCCCCCTTTATGGCTCAGGGTTTTTAAATACTTTTGGAACTGCCTGCTGCAGTTAAAAAATATGTCAATATATGGACAGAAGGGATGCTACAGATTTTTCACCTACCCCTGAAGAAATGAAGGTAATGGAGCCCTAGAGGCAAAGCCTCTTGGTCTGAACACCACAATCCAAAGAAGGCTGTGAAAACTGATTTTCTATGAGGCCTTCAAAGATGAAGCAGTCATATAATGGCGGGCAACAATTACAAATAATAGTCAAACTAGTTAACTGGCTATATTGGATGATGATATTGTTTTAAATATTGTTTTATGCAGTGTTTTGTTCTTTTTGTGAACTGTAAGCTTCCTGGATGACGTGGCATGCAAAGAGATGTTTAAATAAGTACAGACATAAATAAATGATGATTTTGCATGTACAGGTCAGGGAAAACTGCTAGTTCAAGATCTAAATAGCTGCACAGGGACATCTGAGTATTTCCGCCTCTTCTATTTCAGCTTAATGGTGCATTGCGTTATAGCTTTTTAGTTCTAGGAATATAAAATCATTACTATTTGATCAGTCCAAAGTTGAGATGTTATTGGTTTTTATCTTCCACAAAAGAATTGTAACATAGTTATCACAAAACAGTGTAGTCATTACGTTTTTTTATGGAGCAGTTATTCAGTAAATAGCAATAATGAAAGACTTTTGGTTTTACAAGGCTTTGCTAAGAGGTTCCTCTGCTTTTCAAACCTTTAGATTTCTACATTACTGTTAATGTAGAAATTGATGGATGAATGCCTTTATGGTTGCTTGCCAAAGAAAATGAAAGCTTTTTATTCTACAAAAAATGTTTAACAACATTTAGAGCTTTTTGTTTCATCATTACTAATATCAGCTCAGCCTCTCCATTATACAGTGAATCAAAATATTTGTTATTTTTCTCATCTCGTGTAAAAAAAATACTACAAACTGCTTAGAATGGAAGGTAGAATGAGCAGAGCATAGAACATGTTCTTGTTAATTAAACCAAAGTAGGGTTAGATTAAACAATTCATACACATGTGTATGTTAAGCAGCAACTTTTTAATTCAATGTACTGCTTTGTAGAGGTAATTAGGAATGGAAGAGTAGTTGGAGTGAGAAAATACCCATATCCATATCCACTATGTGCTCCAAATGACACTTCCCTCTTCATCACTTTGGTTTTGAAACTTTCCAAGTTTCCTTTTGATCCTTTTGCTGGAAGAGGTTCTTAGGAGGCTAAGTTGGAATAGGGTGATGGTGTGAAGAGAATAATTACTCCATTTTGACAGGGAGAAGTCATTTTCTGAAGTTCCTCTGGACTCTGTTCATAGGCCTGATCAGTATCTGTCTGGGAAGCTATTTAGGAGCTTCCTGCAAGTTGTCTCAGATATGTTACATATGAATTAGACATCCTTTTGGCAAAGGACATCCTTTTTGGGGACATTATACGGATAGTCCTCAACTTGCAACCACAATTGAGCCCAAAATTTATGTTGTTAAGTGAGACATTTATTAAGTGAGTTTTGCCCCCTTTTGCAACCTTTCTTGCCATAGTTGTTAAGTGAATCACTGCAATTGTTAAGTTAGCAACATGGTTTTTAAGTGAATATGGTTTCCCCAATTGACTTTGTTTGCAAAAGGGGATCACATGATTCCAAGACACTGTAACTGTCGTAAATGCGAGTTGCCGAGCATCCGATTGTAAATCACGTAACCATGGAGATAACTGCAATGATCGTAAGTATGAAAAATGGTCATAAGTCCCTTTTTCAGTTCCATTGTAACTTTGAATGGTCACTAAGTGAACTGTTGTAAGTCAAGGACTCCCTGCAGTTACTACCATATGTTCTAAGGAAAATATAACAGGAAGAAAAACTACTTAAACAAGAAAGTAGTCATAATTTGAACAAACATACCCTACATGCAACTGAATGTAAACCAAGGAGATGTGTATTTCGATATGTCTGGCACCTATTTATGTATTTATATAGCTGCCCATCTCATGCAGATGATTTGTTAACAATTGACAAGACACCAACCCTTTGTTTTGTCATTCCTCTGTGAAAAGGAAGAATGAGCCAGTTCTTAGATTTCCATATATGACAATCTGCATTCTGGATTAGTCCAGAAAAGAAAAGGTATTTGGGTGTTAAAGGTTTAGGGAACACTATTAAAAAAATGAATGATTTTTTTTTTAAAAAATGTAATAAGAACAAATGCAATAACCAACACATGGCACAAGTTCAGAGAAACACCAATAAGATGATGAATAGTCTGGAAACTAAGTCCTGTGCAGAACAAAGAATATGAATATGTGTAGACTATAGGAAAATTTACCAAGGGAAGATATGACAACATATCCGAGAAGTTTGGAATCATATAGCAAGCACCAAATTGGGCTCCAGATTCTCAGTCTTTGGCTGGAGCTTTGTCTGTACTTTTTCCTGGAAATAGTTATGTCGGTTACTTCTGTTGCAAAAAGAAATACTCTGCAAAAAAGGACCTACCCCAAAGGTATGGAGCAGCTAGTAGAGAAAGGCACATGTTTCATTCTGCAGATACCTAAATGTATTTGTGGAACTACCAAAACATTAAGAAAGGTTTATCTACTCTATTAGTCAATCTGCAGACTTGTTTTCAATCAACATCTTAAACTTTTATTGGACTTCCATTTTTGCAATTTCCATTTATGTTCATTAATAGCTGTTAACTATAGCCAATGCTTTTTCACAGGTTAACAAAAATGGTAAAACTCTCTTAGAAACAATCCTGTTGTCCAATATTTGTGATAATTAGATACTTGTCTTAATGAGACAACAGTGCTGCACTGTGGCTCATCAGTTTTCTCAAAGAAATACATCTCTATTATAAAAATAAAATGCTTTCAAAAATTATTTATTAGTCAGTTGAAGGCTTCTAACTGCATTCAAAGGTGATTGTACAAAAACAAATGGCCAGTTATATGTAGCATTCTAGGTAACTCATAAGTCAAAGAGTAATCTGAACTGTGATGTTGGAAAATCCAGAACAAGTTTATTCCAAAGTTTTAGCAATGTTAAATAATTTTTATTTAAAATTATTTTATTTACTTAAAAAAATATTTACTTGGAAAATTACTGATAACTTGGGGAGCACTGTTGGTCTTTTTGGACAGAAAATTGATGTTACATAAAAAAAAAACATTTAACTGTTTCAGTACTTCTTGCAATTATTAACCCAGCTTCAGTCAAGAGACTAATCTAAGGGAAATGCAAGCCCATACTTTGTAAGGTCATTTGAAAAGTGTACCAATGAAGGTCTGTCTTTAATAAAGGATGTAGCCAATTGAAGCTCTGCATTTAGGTTTCCTATTTTTTTTATCATTCTCAGGAGCATGTGTTAAAATTTAACAGAGTACATTTAAATCTACTTCATTCCCATGCTCAAGCAAATGTTTGCCTGCTACTAGGATTATATTACAGTTGCTCCCTGAATCTGTTTCGTAATTTGGAAGCACAGTGGTCTGTTACGATGTTGAAAGACAATCTTTCTCAACCTCAACAATTTTAAGAAGTGTGGACTTCAATTCCCAGAATTCCCCCTAGTGTGCCAGTTGGAGAATACTGGGAGTTGAAGTCCATGCATCTTAACATTGTTGAAGTTGAGAAACACTGTTTCAGAATTTTTCCTTTTCACACCTCTCTTCAGACTGAATGTCCCATCAACAATTAGGGAACTTTTCTGGGAGTTGATGAGGACATTTTAAACTACCCACATTTTGTTTGCAGTTTCAGAACTGGTACAAAAACTATAAACATTGTACAGTTTTAATGTTGCCTCAATATTCAGATTTTTCTGCTGTAACAGTGTTGTTAAGACTCAGATATCTAGTATTAAGCATATGTTTACTCAGGTGGGGGGAGAAGGTATTGATCTGAGTAGTTTAATAGGTTCAATTTTTAGATGACCCAATTTTTCAAAAAGGAAAGATGCAGTGATTAAATTGAATATGGATAAACAATCATTTTAATTTTAACTAAATTTAAGCGGTCAGTCTACCACTGAACACCCAGGCATTTTAAAGATCTGCCTTAGCAATAGACTTATATACCATTTCACAGTGCTTTACAGTCCTCTCTAAGCAATTTACAGAATCAGCATAGTGTCCCCAACAATCTGGGTCCTCATTTTACTGACCTCAGAAGAATGGAAGGCTGAGTCAACCTTGAGCCGGTGAGGATCGAACTCCTAGGAATGAGCCTGCAATACTGCGCCATCACATTTTCAGGTATTTGAAGAGGTGTATTCCTTCTTTTACAAACGCTTCTCATAAATCAAAATACTCATTCTTTTCATGTATAACTTCAATTATATAAAATATTATTAAATGAAACCAATGATTAAAGCAACGAAGCAATAAATTATGGTTGAACTTTGGGTAATTAAAGTTTAGACCTCGCCAGATGTGCATTTTAAGACAGTTTTTCCATTACAAATCATCTTTGACTTAAAGACATTCATTTAACAATCGTTCAAAGTTGCAACAACCAAGTTATTTACACCTGCAATTATGACAATCACAGCATCTCCACAGTCATGTGATCAAAATTCGGCCACTTGGCAACCAGTGTGTATACAATGGTAATAGCATCCTGGAGTCATGTGATTACCATTTTGACCTTCATAGCTAGCTTCCAACAAGCAAAGACAATGGGTGAAGCCAGGTTTGCTTAACAGCTGGAGTGATTTGCTTAACTGTGACAGAAAAGTTCATTAAAAACAGGCACGACTCACATAACAACTACCTTATTTAGCATCTGAAATTTTGGTTCCATTATGGTCATATATTGAGGACTGTCTGTTTATCATTGTGCATTGTATGTGTCTATTTTGCTTAAATGCCACTCAAGTTCTAAAGGGCTTATGTTGTGACCCTGTAGGTAATTAGCAAGTATTCTGCAGAGCTGAATACATTCAGACAAATGACTGACTAATCCTTGGCTTCCCCCCACCTCCATACACGCAAACATGAACAAAAAAAGTGAAAATCCCAATCCTTACAAAAACAATAAAACTTATACTGATTTATTTACACTGAAATTCTTGCTTGCTGTAACTTTGATTTTGAACCCTTTAATTTTTTTTTAAATCTCACATTTGCTCAATCAAAACAAAATATAATAAATAATGATTAATTTGGATTGGTAAACCCTGGTTCCCTTCTTTCCAGCCCCACCCCGTTCAAAGCTAAGTCATTCGCTAGCAAGTAAAAACCAAGTTGTCATACAACAGATTGCAGCTACACAAGAAACGATCTTTAGCTGATGTTTATTTAGTTACTCCCCAAAGGTCCCCTTTTTTGACTCTGTACAAGAGTCAAAGTTGCTTTAAATGTTTATTTATTCATCAAATTTATATGTTGACCACCTCCCTACCCAAAACTACTCTGAACATCTTGCAATGCAGTAAAATAGAAATATAAAAAGAATTATAAATATAAGAACAATTAAAATCACAAGGATTAAATGCAGACTAAAATTCCACAGGCTCTAATGGTAGTGCCTTCTCTGTTACTGCACCAGCCACCTCTAGCCTAAAGTATCTTGATTGGGACTCAATATAGAACCAGGTTTTAAGGCCCTTCCAGAAGGCCAGAAGGGTTGGGACAGATCTCACCTCTGGTGGCAGAAAGGACTCTCTTCTCTTAGAATTCATAGCTGGAAATTCCTTGGTTAATGGCCCCTTCTGTCAGAACAGTTTGGGGCAGGCCAGTCTCATTGGGAAAGAAAACTCCTTAGACACCATGGACCCATGCCATAAAGGGCTTTAATAAAGGTTGAGTTGGACTCCAAAAGATTAGCAACCAATGCAGCTCACATATATACACCAATTATTCTTTTAAAAACCAAGGTGTCTATTGTGGATGTAACCTCTTTGCCAAAATGCAGCCATTGTACCCAGAAAATCATTGAGTAATGTCCACAACTGCAAGAGAGATCAAACATAAATATCACAGCCTGCTGTTCAATTGGAGATAGGTTTAGTCTTTTCAAATAAGATCCAAAATCTTGGGAATTGAAACTAGAAAAAGTAGAGGTTACTATCTTCTCATCAGACTCATCTTAAACTCAGATTTTCCCACTAGCAAGCCCAGTAATCGAAGCAAAGGAAACATCTGTTTCAGGAGGCTTGTGTCTGCAAAAAAAAAGTGCAATATTTAGACAAAGTGCTAAGTTCAATTTCTCTTATATAGTACTAAAGTCTCATTGCTCATTTCTTTTTACTCCATTCTTCAGACTGCATTCATGAAATTATGACATTTCCACAGATTTTTCCATAATTTGGTAACTTGAAACCTCTCCAGTATCTTCTCAAAGAAGATGAAAGACAACTTTGTTTCATTTTGTCTGGAGCCTTATATTTTATTTGGGGTTTAGTTTTTCCTTTACCTAAATTATATTTAGATATAGATATTTTCCATGAACATAAGAGCTTTGTAAGTTAGCTCCTTCAATATCAAGTGTTTGCATTTTAGTAATTGAAGTTAAAGTGTTTTTATTTTACCTTTTCCTTTTAAAAAATGATTTTGTTTTCTGTGAGATAACTCTGCAGTTCTCAGTTTCCAGTCCTAGCAACCGTTTAGTATAACACACAACTATCAGAAGGCTGCTGTTCCTTCCCATTTCCTCAAAACAGAAGATACTTTTCCCATCATGTCTGAAAGAAACTCAATCTGTATAATTTTAGGACCTTTTTGTGAGATGAGATCAAGTCCTATCCAAACCACCTGCCAGAAGAAATTGGCAAAGCCTTTCTGAAGAGCATTTGGTTTGGCATGTGTAGTGGATGGTACTGTATTTGGGGTGCTCACTGTATATCTGCCTTTTTGTAGTCTAGTTTTTATTGTATTTGCAAGCTGCTAAGAGTTAGATTGTTGAGAAATAGAAATCAAATAAGTTAACAGGGCTAGGAAAAAACAATTATTTGACTGTTGAATGTCAAGTAATTTTGCATATCAAAAATATATCAAAGTGTCAAAATTTTGTGTATTCTTGCTTCCCTTCAGTGCTGAAATCGTGTGTGTGTGTGTGTGTGTGTGTGTGTGTGTGTGTGTATGAATAAGAGGGAGGGAGGGAAAGAGAGAGAGAGAGAGAGAGAGAAACTCTGATGGTCCGCTACTTCTGACTTTAAATCTTGCCAAAAGTGTTAAGCAAATAATAAGGTTAATTAAGACAGAAAGGCTGATAGGTGATTGACCTTCCTTTTATAAATCCCTCATTGTTGCTTCATTTAACTCTGCCAAGAAATCTTATTCTCTTTGATGTTAATGTAATGGGATTAAAATAAACTTGCTACCCTTCAAGACTGAGGTTGCAGTAAGATTCATTAAGACAGGTTTGATTAACATGGCCGTTCTTCCTTGGATAAAAAGCCCTATTACAATGTTTATTAGTTCTGTAAGCTTTAGCTTGTTCTTCATGCATTACCTGGATTTTTTCAATTGCACTGGACAGTATTTGTGAAACCAGGACATTCTGTATATGTCAGACTATCATTTTGACTAGAGAAAAACATTACACTTTGGAAAGGATGTGCACTTTCTTTGCTGTAAGTGGTTTATATTCTGCTTTTGAGTACAAATTGGTCTAAACTGGCAGTGTAAACCAAAGTCTGCTTCTCCGTGGTCCTTTACATTATAATGTATAGATAAGATCAGAAAAATGTATAAGCTTTGGAATACTATTTATATTCCATAACAACAGTCCTTCAGTAAGTTCAGTTTTGATTTTTATATTTTCTACGTAGAATGATGATAACTGTTTTGGTCAGGGTAGATACAAGGGAATTTTGAGAATAGGTTGGGAGCATTGTTACAAGATGGTTGCAAAGAATGGGGGCCAATCTGTTAATGAAATGGTGTGGCTGACTGGGTGGGTGTGGCCAGCTTGACACCACTCCCCAAAATGCTGGCATGTTTCCTCTTTGTATTGGGTAGACCAGGCCGAAGTGATGGAGGCCAGCTCCTTACATTTTCCAGGACGGCTCCATGGGCCATATTTGACTACATCATGGGCCATATCTGGCCCATGGCTTTGTGCTTGACATCTCTGCTATAGAGTATCTGAGGGATCTAGAAAAATTCCATTAAATAATAATTGCTTTAAATGATGTATTACAACCAGTTTACTTTGCTTTACTTTGCAGAAGGCCATTGCTTCCTTAAAATCATTTTAATGAAGCCCTTGCTGGTAGTAGCCTTCCCAAGTAATTTAAAAACTACACAAACAATGAAGAATGGGATAAGCAGAGAAACATAAAAGTGGCTGCTGAATTCTCTCGTTGAATTCCCACCATCCCTCTTATGAAGGAAAGTAGATGAAATAATCATCTGAGCCACCTAGGGCTTAGGGGAGAGGAATGGCGACCCAGATAGATCTTATTGATTTCCTGTAGATTCACAGGAATGAATGAATCTGTTGCTGTTTAACAAGTAGGATCTACGAGGTTCAATTAATGATGAAGGCAAATGCTCAGCCGGAGTCCAGCATAGCTAATGGTATTCACAGCCAGATGTTAGCATTTTCTGTTGATTTATTAATCCTAACTTAATTGGTCTCAGCCTGTATAATATAAATGATTTGATTTGATTTTCCAGGTGAACAACTTTAGTTTAATTATGGCTTTATAGGTAGTTCTTGATTCCAAATTAGTTCCAAGGTAGTTGTTAAGTGAATTTTTTCCCATTTGTGATCTTTTTTGCCTCAGTTGTTAAATGAATCACTTAAGTGAATCATGTGGCTATTAAGCACATCTTCCTTCCCCCATTGACTTTGCTTGTCAGAAGACAGCTGGGAAATTTACAAGGCCCCAGGACAGTGCAAATGTTATGAATACATGCCAGCTGCTAAGCACCCAAATTTTGATCATGTAACCATGGGTTTGCTGTAACAGGAATAGGTGAAAACCAGTCATAAGCACTTGTTTCAGTGCTGTTGCAACTTTGAAATGTCACT